TTCCAGTGACCACACGCGAAGAAACAGCAGCTCTATCTCCTAAAAGTACTTGAGTAGCTACGTGGCTTGGTAGGAATGCCTAACCCCAAATGGCTTTCATAGGTTAGCAGGGCAAAATAAGACTTGCTGTTAGCCTAATTTGGGATATCGGAGGGCCAAGAACTGAAATAGCTGTGTTCTCATTTCTCTGCTACTCTGAAGTAGCCACTGCTTAGCTATCTAGGCTAGCCAGCGAGTCCTGCAGTGAAAACCAGTCCTGGCACACTCTGTTTTCATTTTTGCCAACCGTAAGGAGCAGTGCTTCTCCAGCTACGTGGCACTGGTCTCTGATGTTGTTGCAAAGAAGCCTCTGAGGGGGTCAAGCCCTGTTCAGGACTCTGTAGACCCACGGTGCGGCTGCTGACCGTGCCAGCGAGCTGGGGCTATAAAAGTGGTGTCACGCCAAAGGTGTGAGCCTGCGTTGTACCTGGTTTGTCACAGAAAGCAGAGCACTGGTCAGTTTTCAGCATGAGTGCAGTATCTTTTAGCCGCAGCTGGACTGCCTAAGCTGAGAAAGATCATATTTCTCTGTGTAGCAAACTCAGCAAAGTTGGTTGCTGAGTGAGAGTTGAAGAAGTCATAAAAGTCCTGTCAATTTATTGTGCTCTTGCTAACAAGCGAGTGGTACAACAGCCTTATGTTATGCTAGATGTATGAGACTCATCTTTATCTGCAGCTTGCAGTACCCCGTGTTAGGTCTGAAATCTGTGTTCTTTAGGTGGCAACAACTTCTCAAATTCCATCCCAGAGATACTCTGGCAAAATATGTAGGGCTGAGCATCCTACCAAAAAAACCACTAGTTCATCTTGTCTCCTGTTGCTTATCTCCAGCTGAAGAAATAAAAGTCTTTGGAAGAAGCGGAAAATGGGACTGGTAGACCTGACCAGGGGAAACAGCTCCTGACTCCAACCGTGGCATCAGGGGCTGTGGGAGCTGTGGCATCCCCGTGCCTCCTTAATCCAACTGAGATATTGGAGGAGGAGGGAGAAGCACCAACTTCCTCGGGACTCGCTAGCTGCTGTCTTGCAGATGCTGCCATGCTGTAGCCGGCAATTCGGAAGCTGTCTTGTCACCTCTGAGTGCCTGCACCTGGGAGCAGTTTGGATTTTGCTTATTTTTAAATACAGGCTGCTCTGGGACTGGTGCTGGGGGCTAGAGCAGAGAATTTCTGCTGAGAGTAGGCTGTTAACCAAACTGTAGGAGTAAAGGGTGAAGAAAGCTTTTCATGTGAGAGCCCCAAAAAATGATTGTGGCCTGGGGAACTGTGGTGGAGCCTGAGGTTTTGAGTCATGGCAATTTGGTGGCTGCTGAAGATAAAGGCCAGGCCTAGGAGGGACAAGCTCAACATAGGGCATGCTGCAGCCTGGTATTGTTGAGGAAAGTGCTGGGTACGGGTCTGGCTAGAGCAATGCTAACTCTGTCTGTGGCTCTGTTTCAGCTGCTTTCTTCCAAGACTGCATATCTGAACAGGACCTGGATGAAATGAACATTGAAATCATTCGAAACACGCTGTATAAGGTAAATCACTCTCTGGGAAGGGAAAGA